GTTTTAGACAGTCATAACCGAACTATAGCTGACAAACTTGTGTCTTAACTAGGCTAGGAATGGATGTGCCTCTTGGAATGGATGAGGGAAAGACATACGATTACGAGGATGTTTGCTATCGTCGACGTCGTTTCATCGACACGAAATCGATAGCAATGATAAGTTATCATTACCAAGTTTAGTGTAGTCCCGTCAGTACCTTACCCAGACACATTGTACAATGTATTAAAACTATTCCTTAAAAAAATGGTGCTGACTGTGCAGGCCTAGGCCTACCCCACTTAGCTTCGTGAGTTGATTTCCCGTACGATTGAAAATCGTAACGGTACTGGGTTTGGTCTACAGGAGTTCGTGCTTCGAACAGGTCATTGCATTCATAGAAAAAGCCTTTTGGTGGAGAAAGTGTACATTTTTAGTAAAGGTTTGCCTAGGTCGAAACTAGGCCTAACTCCGGCTATATAAAATTGATTATAAGATTGAAAAATATTAATTTTGTTATTGTACTAGTGATAGATACTATGTACACGTTTAATTATTGTTATTTATTCGTTAATGTCATTATATTTACATTTAAATTTAATATATTGTTTAAGTATGAATTATTATGTTCATGTAAAAATTAATCTTATAAATTAAAATTGTATATTTTAAATAATATAGTAGGCATAGTTTAATGGAGATCATCAAATGCGGTTGTAAGACCGGGTGCAATCAAGGCAGATGTCATTGCAATAAAATGAACATGAAATGCTCTGATCTTTGTCAATGTACAAACTGTCAGAACAGAGATGATAAAGACACCATGAATGAAGATGCTCAATTTGCAGACGATGAATACCTAGATGAAATTTACATAGATGATTTGTTTGATTGAGATTTGATGTGTTTCTTATTTCATCATTATTATGTATAATATAGAAAATTTTAAAAAGGTAACGTAACCGCGTGAACTTCAGAACCATGAGACTTAACACACAGTGACACAGGAGTATGTAAAGCATTATCTATTTTTATTCATTATGTATGATGTACAAACGTTAAAAAAAGTACCGTATAATGTAACGGTGTAACCCTTGAGAACTTTAGAACCATGAGAATAATCACACAATGACAAAGGACTGTGAAACGCTTCACTGTATTTATTTATTAAGTATTACATATAAAAAGGAAGGATGTCCCGCTTGCCGGTTACATATTATAGCCAATATTCAGCATGGATGGATGCTACCGTTTTAAAAAAATGGTTCCACAGTGACTCTGTTCCAACTGTCCGGCGGTGGTGCCATTAACACGACATTCCATACAAAATTCTACTTCTTCCGGATAATGCTCCGTCACAATCACCCCTTCCCAAAAAGAAGAACTCGTTTCTGAGGATGGGAACGTCTGGGGCTGTCTCTTATACACATCTAAGAAGGAATATGAATGCAAAAATACTGTAAGAATGAAGTGTGTACTTTAGTATACATACAGGGAACATGCAGACACATTGTCAAAAGGAAGACCACAGGAGTCAAAAGAAGTCAAAATACTAATACATTTTCTTTAAATTGTTACACAATTATGTTTTGAAAAGAATATCAAAGAATTGCAATTACAATAATAAAATAAGTTTTTTTGTTGAAATTTCTCATTAATAATTATGCTGTAAGTTGACGCGAATTGACGTGTACTGACGCAATCCGACATTACTTGACACGATTTGACCTAAAATGACGCGAGTTGACGCAAGTGGACAGCTCATGGTATGATCGCGACGTGCTTCTACACCGCTGTATCGCGGTGTGTTTTCCGACGACCAGCAGCCTAGGAACGTAATAAAACGGTAATTTTCTTAAAATTGCAGAAGATATTTTGGTCGAACTTTCTATATTTGATTCAAGACATATTACTTAACTATTGTAGGCCTAAATTTTTTATAATGAAAAAATCGGAACGGAATTCGTTTTCTAGAAATCTTTTGAGCTTCACCCCATGGCCTACCAGTGGCTTTCCGGTATACCTGGCTTTCCTACTATCACTGCGGGTGATATGCAATGCCAGTCTTCAAAAAATGACGTCACGCACATTCTGGCATTTCATTGGGTGATGGTGACGTAATGCTATTTACTGTACCTTATCTCTAGCACGGCTTTTTGCAAATTGCCTGTTTGATTTGATTTTAATGAGCCATTTTAAAACAATGCACGCCTGACCAATGTAAATTTAAAAACAAATTGATTATATAATTATTGTATTTATTTTTGGAACATTCTTATTAATTATTCCTAAGTTAATTTAAATGGCTTATTTTTAACACCAGTCTGTTTGGGAAGAAATGTACATATAAATAAGACTATTGCGACTCAGATAAAGTATTTTCGGGGGGGCAAGATGGATGATTGCGTTATTTGTGGAAATACGCTAGAGGGTGAGCTTTCACAATGTTCTCGCTGTCATATACAAATTCATCTGCCCTGCGTTAATGAGTGGTATCGCCGGTCTCGTACGTGCCCTCACTGTAGACTGGCGGTGCCAGCTCCTAACCAGCCAGGAGTTGCGGTCGATGTGTTCGTAGATCATGATAGATCTTGGATCCGAACATACGATTTCTATAATTAGGCTGGTAATTTCAACCATTTTTTAAAAATGGTTAATATCATATCAAATAACAGAACCCAGTTAGCAAGTAGCAAGTTGCGCAAGTAGCAAGTTGGTTGAAGGTCGAATAATTACGTTGGCACAACGTAGTTACAGAAAGGTTGGCCGGACGTGGATTCAGCTTGTTGGAAAGACGTCGGCCGACTAGTTGGATCAACGTTGGCCCGATAATGTTTGTGCAACGTCGTCCAATCACGTTGGCCCAACGTACTATTTCTGGTGTTGCCTAGCCATTCGTTTTTCCATCGAGCCAACGTCGATTCAGCCAGCTGGAAAGACGTCTGTCCGACTAGTTGGATCAACGTCGGGCCGACGTTGGTTGAAGGTCAAATAATTACGTTGGCACAACGTACTTACACAATTAGGTTGGCCAGACGTGGATTTAGCTTGTTGGAAAGACGTCGGTCCGACTAGTTGGATCATCATTGGCCCGATAATGCTTGTGCAACGTCGTCCAACCACGTTGGCCCAACATTCATTTTCTAACGTCTAGACGTTCGCTTTTCCATCGGGCCAACGTTGGTTCAGCCAGTTGGAAAGACGTTGGTCCAACTAGTTGGATCAACGTCGGGCCGATGTTTATGCAACGTCATGAAACTACGTTGGGCCAACGTTCCTTTTCTGATGTTGTCTAGGCGTTTCACTTTTCCATCGGGCCAACGTCGATTCAGCCAGTTGGAAAGACGTCAGTTCGACTAGTGGGATCAACATCGGGCTGATATGTTGGTGCAACATCATCAAACTACGTTGGGCCAACATACTTTATCTGATGTTGCCTAGACATTCGCTTTTCCATCGGGCCAACGTCAATTCTGGCAGTTGGAAAGACGTTGGTCCGACTAGTTGAGTCAACGTCGGACCGATAATGTTTATGCAACGTCATCAAACCACGTTGGCTAGAATGAGGTTGACCCGACGTTAAGCAAAGTACACGCATTTTGAGAAAAATGTTGTCTTAACTACTGTACTGGTTGGAGCAATGGCGATCCGAAGTTTGTTTTAGAGCCAACTTCAATATACCGGCACAATGAAGGTTGATTGGTCGAGGTGCATTGTAATTTATATGGCAGCATCACGACGTAGCTGGTCTGACATGTTTTAGTCTGTGTTGAGTATTTGTTACAGTGTTTTAACTGTTCATGTCCAGAATACAGGCTTCTTACGTCATATTCTATTTTTAGAGGCTTTCTCTGTCCAGAATATGGGCTGCATGATGGCGCTGTTGTCCAGAATACGGGCTTTCTTACGTCATATTCTATTTTTAGATTTTGGAACATCAGTGGAATGTAAACAGTAAAATTACAAAAAATAGCAAGCAATTAGAGTATGGTAAATGGTAAATTTTACGATTTTCATGGATTTTCTAAGCTACAGTTGTAGGCCGACATTGCAGTGCGGCATATAGGAAACTCAAGTTTGCCTGGCCTAGAGGCCTACGCCAGTGGCGGCGCCAGCGGGGGAGGGGGTGGTGCAGGGGGAATTTTCTCTCCCCCCACCCCCGGTCGGACAGGCCTGGACCCCCTGTCGTTGTCGGACAAAGGTCTTTTTCACGAATCGGTAGACATCTTGAAGTGATGACAAACATTGCGAATCAGCGGTGCGTAACCAACAGAAATAAGATAAACTTTTGGGCTGATTTTCTGACATGTTATTTAAAAAATCATAACTCCATAACGGGGCGTCGTATCCAGTGTATTAAAATAGGCCTATGCATTACAGTGCAGTAGCATAGAACTTTCGTGTTGTTACTGTTCCAGGTGCCGATAATATACAGATTTCTCTTATTATAAAGTACAAGTTATGTTTTATAAAGAAGTATAGTATAGTAAATATACTAGAAGTATAGTGGTGTAGACTAGTCTTTTAAAAACATTTTGCTGGAAAAATTCTTTGGATACGACGCCCCGTTATGGAGTTATGATTTTTTAAATAACATGATGTCAGAAAATCAACCCAAAAGCTTATCTTATTTCTGTTGGTTACGCACCGCTGATTCGCAATGTTTGTCATCACTTCACGATTTCTACCGATTCGTGAAAAAGGCCTACAGTATACTAAGCCATAAAAACACTCCCCAACCTCAACCATTGTGGGGGCTGAGGTGGTATTTACCCCTATCTGTGAGAGCCCTTTTAGAAATGTGGACCCATTATTTCTATAAATAGTATGGACTCAATAGAAAAATTGTGCGGGACTGTCCCAATTACCAATAGCTGGCTACGGCATTCATCATAGGTATATTACATCACCAGTACACATGCCCAAAATAATCGCAATTATTGTACTTATCTAGATTCTGTAACTACTCCCTCTATCTATCGTTGTGACGTTAAATTGATCGTATGCCGTTCTGAAATCGAGTAACATAGAATTGAATGCTCACAGTTAGTTATATATTATTCAAAATTATAACTTCAATTTATAGTGCTTAGCAAGGCTCATAATGGCATTGCCTGATCCTCTTGGAAGACCGGTTATAGAAATAATAAGAGATGTGGTACAGGACTTAATTAGAGACACTGGCTACGGGGAAGGTCCAAGGAATGCGCAACTGAGAAACAGAATTGAGGCTCTTCTGCATGCATACTCTGGCCCAGAACTAAATAACGGACATGGGTCTGATATCGACTTCGGCGACCCACTTTTCCGGGCATCGTATGTATATTTATACTGTACCGCCCATTTCCATGCAACGTTTCATGGTATGACTAAATTCTATGAGAAGCACCTGCTTAGAGATTTTTTCAGTGTTAAGTTTAGAACATCTAGCTTACGAGTTTGTGCACTAGGGGGCGGACCTGGAACTGACTTGTTTGGGTTGATGATGTTTCTTTTGCGTTTCACAGATAATGGCAATAGGCCTATTCGAGTGAAAGCTTCAATTATGGATCAATATCCTGCTTGGGAGAACGCTTTTCTCGCGATTTTAAAAAGAATTCATAAACATCTCAACATGGAAGTACGATATGTTGAATTTGATGTGAATCGACAACTTGGAGATGACGTCAGCAGAGAACTCTCAAACGCTAAACTTGTGACAATGGTAAAGTTCATATCCGCTGTGCGCATGTTACCGCGCGCGAAAGATGTCCTCATAAGCGCAATGAATTTACTAAAGCCAGACACATTTATATTTTATATCGACAACTTTGAAGGAGGAAACACAGAATTCGTCAAGGAAATCGCTTCTCAGACCAACATTGACATTTGCTTTACATTACCATTCTCCTCAAATTCACCCCTGTTGCTTCCTTTCAATGAGGATGCAAGAATACTTGATGAGCTAAGAGGTGAAATATTTAGAAGAGACTCGCAACGTCAACTACGTGTTCACATAATGCTACTAAAAAAGTGCAGGCGTACTACTAGACCTACACCTCGACAGCATTCACCCAGCGCGTCTAGAGAATTTGTTTGGGGGGTAACAAACCGGCAACACAGAGACGTATGTTCCGAAGACAATAGGGCAAGGGAAAGGCATCCGTGTAGTAGAACATTGTCTAAGCCTAGTATCCCGCCTACTAGCCCTAGTAACATTAAGCCTAGTAGTAACCTGCCTACTAGCCCTAGTAACATTAAGCCTAGTATCCCGCCTATAGGCCTACAATCTAGGAGCAGGCCAGGTGCAAGGAACTTGCTGTATACATTGTGTGCATTGTGTTTTTGTGTGTGTATTATGTTGTTGGTTCTGGTTCTAGCCCAGAAGTAAAATATAACAGGAGAGGTCGACATTGGATCGAAAGAATAACACGAGATCGGCTTTGCAAAGATGGGTTTAGAAAAGTAGAATGAGCAAAAATTAAACCTCAAATATAGAGAGAAGATTGGTGTTAGGTAGTACAATATGAGTTGTAGCAAAATATCTTGTAATTTTTAGTGTTTTGAATCCCTTACCTAATTTCTTCCATGGTACTGGGGTATTTCTAAGTATATAGATTAGAAGGCTAAATAATGTCGCGAATTGCAATAATCAATAATCTGGAATATTTTTGTATAGACTTATAGATCAAGTCTGTGGTCGCCATCAGGTCATTTTTACTGTTTTGAATACAATTTTCTTAAAGATATTGAGGAGTTGAAATCTGAACACAAAGCAATACAAACTTCTTGTACAGTAGGCCTACATGTATACGATGTGTTCCTTTTGGTCGTGTTTAATGTTAAGGAATTTTCTAGTGGGTTAAATTTTAGTGTCGTGACCAAAATTAGATTTTTGGAATAAAAAGTAAAATGTTTTTATTATCTAATTCGTCGTTTCTTGTATTATATTGGACTTCTTATATTATGGATTATACTGTACAGTTTTTAAGCATACCGGGTGAACAGCGCATAAGTCCCAAGTATGAGCAAAAAAATAGGCCTAGTCTTCATTTTATTTTTCTTATGATCATTATGTGTAAAAGTATAAAACAGCTGGTGAAATCACCCTACCATAAAACAACAGATATGTAATGACATCAGAAGAGCTCGTTTTGCTGGACATTGCTCTTGAGCAAAATACCAGGTCAGTAGACTTCTCAGGTTCGTAAAATGCACTTCCGTAATTATGTCTTCAAATTGACCTAGTAAATCAAAAAATTCCGTAATATTAAATGAAAAATTCCGTAGCACCTAATAATGTCAGTATCTGACAAGTATGAGTTGTTTAGGGACAATGTAACCAACGATCCTGATGGAGAAGTCATTTTTCTGGGCTTTAGATCTACAGTATTTATTAATCTGATAAATTTCTGTTGTATTTTTGTCCATTTCCTTACGTCCGTAATTAGGCAAAATTTCCGTAGCAACTCCGGACTTTCCATCAGAACTTCTTTTATGGAAACATCCATACTATCGCATAGGCAGCCACTCTCTCACATTCCTCGACACCATTGCCAGAAACACCGGACTAAGCCTCGATGATGTCTGAGCGACAGAACATTTTTGTAAACCGTTGGTAACACCATCTCGGCTGCGGCCGACTGGTAAGAGGTTAACCAAGGTTAACCAACGGGCCCGATATTGATCAATCTCAGCTTAGCAAATGTCTTAAGTCAAACAAGATGTCTCTAAGAAAATATCTTAAGATGATTTTTCAAACCACCTTAGCAAAATTTTAGCTCAAACATGGCCTTGGATGGCACATGCGTACCGTCGACTTTTTAAGTTTAAGCAATTTTACATTTTTTAAGCTAAACAATATTGATAAATGGACTTAAGACAAATTTGGGCGAATTTCTAGTTTGATAAATCCGGCGCCTGATGCATAACAGCAGTGTATCATTAACATAATAACATAAACATTTTTTGAATTAAAATTTTGAGCTACTTTATTCTAAATCTCATATTTAGAATACCAAACCCTTGAGAATATTCTAAAATCATTAATAACATTATACAGTACGGTGGTACACTCAACATTGCAAAAATCAATTCGCTGCAACATAAAAATCTGTACATTTCTAATTAGGGTATTGGTAAACTATTGAATTACGTGATTAAAACATTTTTAAATGCATTTCAACGGCATTAGACGTATAATGCCACACACATGCACACAAACAAAAGAAAACAAATGATTTAATTACTTAATAGCCATTATTTTATCAAAGGTAAACAGACGCCGTCGTTTTAATAACACATTCTTGCATTAAATCACACAGGATTCATAATATAACATATTCAAAGGTGTCTTGCCAAATAGAAAAATATAGAAAATACTAATTGTCCTCAAATTCAAAACTTTTCAATAAACTTTCTAAATCTCGTTTATTGATTTAATACATGTTTGCACACGTCACGCTTCAATAAAACACCACAAAAATAATGAATAGTTATTACGAGAACCAACACTCTCGCCTACAGATCGTCCCTCAAAATCGCTCGTAAGTTGGTACGTCTTTGTAAAAAATACATACTTCTGAAAAAGGGTATTGTTGATATATCCAGACGTAATAAGAGTAATAGGAACAATAAATACATTTTCCGAAATAACTTCATTATTGTATGATTCATAGAGCGTTTTTCAAAATCCACCATTGACAAAAATGCAAATACCGTAAAACCTCGAATTGAAGCCCAGTGGGGTTAATTTCGAGATGAAGCCCATCTCGAATTGAAGCCCCCCCCCCCCAATCTTTATTTTGCAAAATTAGCCTCGAAAAGGAGCCCATCTCGAGAAGAAGCCCATGTGCTTCTTTTCAAGATAGCATAGGCTTCTTTTTGAGAGTCTGACTATTTTTTTGAGGTTTTACTTTTCCTAAAGATACATTGATAACAGGCACAATATTTCAATAATTTAAGTCTTTGTTCATTACTGTACTATAATTATTATTGTACAAACAAATATATATATTTGTGAGTTTTTGTGAGTTCTAATCTTTTTCTGACGTCCCTTTTCTTGAATTTTTCGGGGATTTGGCTTTCTTTAACTTCTTCTGGTGACTAACTTTGACTAGGATAAAGACGGGTTCAAGACGGACATCTAAAAACGGTGGCATTGTGACATCTTCTATCATGATTACATAATCACCTGGGTAGAGAAAACAGTTATGTCCATCAAGAATCAAGAATGAATACAATAATTTATTGTCATCGATTGAAAATTTGAACAATAACATTTGTTTCGCCTAATGAGAAGACAATATATTTTTGTCAAAATTATATCAATGACAACTTGAAAAAAATGAGTAATTGTTACATCAAGTTGGATATATTGTCTAATTACTACCATAGTATATTTTAGTATTTAGACTGTTATTCCGTAAATCAAAAGACGATACGAAGCCCCTAATGTAGACCTATTGAATAAAGGTTGGGATCAAAACTTTAGCCCACCGAAAATTACATGATTTAAGCCTACTAAGAATACATGATACCTGGCCTTGCAAATCTTTCATCTCCGTAGCGTCGTTCTCGTTTGATCTGTTGCGTTTTGGGATCCAGTTTGCCAGCAATCAGAGAATCAGGTATTTCGTCTAAAAAATAGCCAATTTAAATATTCAAAAAAACAGTCCGTACATTTTATTTTCTTAACAGGGAGTAAACTCCTAAATGTGGAATAGAATTTAAGAATATAGGCATACACAAACGTCATCATCATTCCTATACGTGCACATCGGCAAAACTGTCAATGAAAGCATCATGGGCACGCGTAAGCTCTTGTCCACACTATCAAATATTATGTGTGACATCATCATACCCAGGGATCGCGTCAGAATTTGCACGACGAGGGTCCGAGGTCTCCAACAATGGTCGAGGTCCCACACGAGAGCAAAGTGTCGGGCGTCGCTCAAGATATTTTTATAGTGGTCCGGGGTGAAGTCCCCGAAAATTGACAATTTAAGGGTTTCAAAGGCTTTATCTAATCGATTTCAGAGTCCATTAATATGTACAAAATATCACATAGGCCTACTTTTTTTTTTCTTCCCGACGAATCGTGGTTTATCTCCCCGACGAATGGCGGTAATCAGTGTATGGAAGGGCGATCTTGTGTCTGGTAATAGCTAGTGAACTGTTTTGAGAAAATTAGCCATTCATTCCGTGAAAAGGCCAAAAAAACAAAAAAACGTGGAGGGGATTGTCTTCCAGTATACTGTCAAACTTTCCGAAGTTCAGGTAGCGGGTCCAGAATATGTGTACCTACATGGATTGGAAAATTCCAATCAGATCGTCAGATACTTTGCATTTTCTTGACGTACGTTAAACTAAATACCAAATAAAGAAAATACTTTAATCCTGAAAGGTATTATAACGGTACTAATTAACAGAAGGGATAACCTTTCAAATAATCTGAACATATCTCAGTGCAATGATATTATTGAATATCTGTGTAACCTTTTAGTTTAATCTGTTTCACATATAGATTTTTCGTATTTTATTATCTGTATTCCTTTTGTGTATTTTTGAATTGGCTCCGGTGTTTGTACTTTTTTACTGAATTTGTATTTTTATTGTGTATTTTAAAAGTGCTAAAAAAGAAAACTGAACTGAACTGCCACTTTCATTTCCAATTCATTTCAACTAGCTCAATCATCATCGTCAAGGTATGTTAAACAAGACCCTGTACGTCTAGAGTAAAAAAACGGTACTGTTTTTGTTTCCGTTTCAAAGGAAGTATTTCAGTTGAATTAACTCATTCATAATCGTCGATGTATGTTAAAATTCATCAATAATATTCTGTGAGCCCGAGTTAACTTTGTATCATTGACACATCGATATTTCTTTTGATATTGTAGGGCCTAAGCCTCAAATAATACCTATGCTTTGACAGTTGTATGTGCTACTAGGTGACTTTTATGAATATTTTTAGTAAAAGGCTGTATTAAATTAAAAACTGACGTTTTTCTACCTGTCTTACTGGAATTCATCACCTTTTAAATGAGGAATGAAGTTTTACTATTTTAATGGCTATCCGTATCTATAAGAAGATACCTGTAATTAAAGCGGCTGAGCCTCTATAGCTTTTATTATGAAAGGCCAGTTTAAGCGAATTATACAGTTACACCTGGTTACACTGTACGTATTGATAGGCTTGGATCTAGGCCGACACTGATACCAGGCCCAGGATTTATCAATCTCAGCTTAGCAAATGTCTTAAGTAAAAAAAGTTAGGATGTCCCTAATAAATATCTTAAGCTGATTTATTACTCAATCTTAGCAAAATCTTGGCTTAAAAATCGTGTTAGATGGCGCCAACGTACAATCGACTTTCTAATTTTAAGCAATTTTTAAGCTAAACAATATGGATAAATTTGACTTAAGCAAAAAAAAAATTTAAGACGAATTTAAGCTGATTTCTAGTTTGATAAATCTGGCCCCTGGTAATTAATATTCACGAGAACAGGTCAAGTCTTCAGTCAACTATGCATTAAACAAATAAAATTTACCCATGTCAAATATGGCGTTTTTGACGTTTTAAGGAAATACTTTGATGTGTTTTCACGTGTTAGTGCTCCTTAAAAAGGCTCTACTCCGTCGGGAAATATATTGGGCTAAAATTGCTTATAAATATCCCAGGGCCCATTCAGGCCTTAGCCCCTGGATTTAGGCAGTGACAGCTCATATTTGTTATGCTACTGATCTACAGTGGCATATCTAGTAGAGGTATTGAAATGTGGCGGCTGTTAAAGATGGGGGGGGGGGAGTAGGCTCGATGATTAAGCGAGGGTGCTTTAGCTGGCAAAATAAAATGATATGAGGTGATTTGCGCCCCCAACCAGCGCACCCATCCTGTAGGTATGCCACTGGTTCAGTATGTATTACCAGTGACACATTAGTGTGGATCACCACAAATATAAGAAACATGGTGAATCAATGAGGACATGCAGAAGGCTACTAAATCAATATGCATTGTTATATGAATAAATGAAGCACACGGCAAGCAATAAACAGTTAATGGGAACAAACATATGGTGCTCATAAATGTGCAGTTAATCTAATCTAGAATTAGGATAGCAATATCAGGAAATGCATGTGTAGTACTGTAATTTCATTTTGTGTTATTTTTCTAGTTTGTTCATGTCTAATGAATAGCAGCCAAGTAAAAAAAAATGTTAGTTTATCATTTTTACATCCCACACCATTTTATCAACATTTTTTTTTCATAAAATATGAATAAGTGCATTTTGTTAGAATAGTATATTCCTTTACTTTGAGCCTGGGTACATCTTGATTTCAAATAACTGACTGCCATTAAAATACGGGCCTCTCCCTCTTTTTAGAATTAGTGGGAGAAACTGTTTTTTTACTTGGCCTAACATAAAGTGAATGTTAATAGAAGAGGAATGAGCGAATGTGAAAAAAAAGTTGTTCCAACCGTGTGATTTGAACCTGGAAACCACTTCTGCTGTCTATAAGATGTGTATAAGAGACAGGTGTACCTACATGGATTGGAAAATTCCAATCAGATCGTCAATGTTATTAGTATTCAGTATATATTATACTTTATATACATTATACATATACCATATATAATAATGTTAATATGTTAAAGACATTAAATAAAAAATTTTAAAAACAGAATTAATAGGAAAAACACCACTGAACATTTTCAGTTCAACCACTAAGCCATGACCTTCAAAATAATATCACAGGGATATGCCAAAATAAATTAATATCCAAACCAAAAAAAATTGTAAGTAAATTAGTAAACCTCATTTTTAAAATTCGTCTTCAAAATCAAACATGCAATAACTTGTATCACCTGCAGTCTTCCCAAGTTTGGCCCCCAGTCCAAGCTGGCCTGCCAAACGACCTGTTTTCTGATTTCGGGCTTTGTTGCGGGCCTCCTCTTCCAGAAGAGCATCAAGAACTTGGAAAGCTCTATAACCTTGTGGCGCGCCCGGTAAAATGACAGACTAGAAAAACATAGTGGAAATTCATTAGGATAAAGAGGATTTTAGTTAATACTCCAGATGATGTAAATGTTACTTTGAAATTATTCATTCTGCTCAAGGATGTATTTAATATGCAACATGTGCAAGATTCATAGTGGAAAATGGACTTGAAAAGTCAATGAAAAAAAGCTGCCCCAACCAGGATTTGAATCAGGGACATTCTGCTATCTATGCAGAGGCCTTATATATCTTTATGAAAGCAGTTTCGCACAGCAATTTCCATTCAGGTAATGAACCTCAGGGGCTTAAGCCATATGCTGACCATTCTCTCCTGGCCATACTTTGATACCCCAGCTTGCACTGTTGATGGGCTGTAAAGTGGTTCAATACTGCTTCAGGCCTGTGTGGGTGGGAATTTTTCATGGCTTACACACACACACACGCACGCACGCACACACACACACATATATATAACCGACTAATCAGAACAGGGCAACGGAACAGCAGCGGAGCTCGGTGCGAAAAAGCCTCAGTGCAAGATTAATTGCAGGGCCCTTTGATGTGATAGCAGAATCCCCAGAGTTCTCCGAAAATTCATCATCAGAAGTGCTTCTTTTACCTTCTACTCCTAAAGGCGTAATAAATACCAATAATAATCATGGATTCGTAACTATTTTACGAGGGGGCATATTCGGTCTCAGCATCTGTTCTAAACTAATCAAGAAAATTGGTGGCACATACAATTAAAATTGCAGTGCTGGGTCAGGGAATTCGAAATAGAAGGGCCAAGGAGGGATTTTCACAGGTGGAGTGTGAAGACCACCTCAGTCCCACCATGGTTGGGCCTGAGGTAAGAAAATTTGTGATTACAGCATCTCTAGATGGCCGGAAATACTATTTTTAGATCTGTTTATGAATGGGCTCCAAATAGCCTTGGGCCCCAGTGTTTTGCACTGGCTGCACTGCCCCTAGCTACGCCACTACAATGGAATATGCACCTTTCTCACAAACAGGTGTTGTTCCACAAGCACTAGTGGCTGTGTGCATTTTATGCTGTCACATTGTGAACTTAGCAACAGTATAAAATGAGTGGGGTTAGTAGAAAGGGTCTATCCACATAACATTCTCTGTGCAGAGATTTCCCAGGTCAGTGAATACTGAATGAACAATATACAATGTACAACCTCCGCTGATGTAATTAGCAATCTGATAGTCAAAATGAAGGAAGGTTCCCCATTCCCAAATAAAAATCTGCAATTGATAACACTAAACAAAAAATCTTGAGCTTACTGTACACGAAATCAACATAGTTACAAGCCTCATCAGCATAAACATGTGAGCAGAATATGCTAATGTGTTTGTAAATATACAGTGCAAGTTTTGTCCTGCAAGATTCACTTAAAAAAAAGCACACACAAGCTGATTCTGAACTGTTGCCATGCGAGGTTGATGGCTCAGCTGAATTTGCTCGCGTACAGTTGGCTTAAGCATTAAAGAGTGCGAAATGACTGAAAGACATCTTGAGCTGTGAGCAGAGACACAAACGGATAATACAGAGCTTTCGATTTGTTAGACGACGTGACACTAGCCTAGAATCCACGCGACGGTGAGAATTTAAAATTCTCGCATGCGCAGATGACTTTTAGTGACGTCATTATGTTCTACGTTCTACCATCATCGTGCAATCAAAAGCTCCATACTGAGTAATTTAAACAACAGCAGGACATCATAATGCTATAATGCAACAATGAACGAAATGATTAAAAACAAGAACAAGCATCTTCATTCAAACTAATGTAATCTTGAATAAGTGAGCATAATATAACATGATTATGGCCCCGTCCAGACTATCAAATTATGACCAAAACACTTGAAATACCTAAATATGGTCATGATGACATCACATCATGACCATATATAGACACATCATGACTATATATGGGCATACAAGTATTTTTGTCAAAGAAAATTTGATAGCATGAACAGAACATAAGACTAATCTACTATGATTTTAAAGAGACTGTACTAAACATTTAATTTACAAGAAGATGGAATAATGAATGAAAAAAAGTGGTTAAAACATTGAGACAAGGCTGCAGCATTTCATCATCTACAAACTACAACTAATATCTTCCTTCTAAAATGCATGAAGAAAGTGTCAACTATGGTTAAGAACATCTAGGCTACGGATGCAACACCTTCTTGATGAGATTGGGAGTTCTTTCTCGGCCTCTGCTGCAAGCCTCCAGTAGGAGCTAACTGGCTCTTAACATTTGGCTTCTTGGTTGGGTGATTCATTGCCTTCAGTTTACTGTCTTCCTCCGCATCGAGGTACGTAAAGGGAACATAACCTGGAGGACTTCCTGGCAACACTAAGTTCTATCAATTACAGATAATATTTCGTGAAAATATTATGACTGCAGATTTATTCTAAAATTTTTGTACAGCTAAAATCTAATTATAAAAAAAATACATTACAATATCAAAAACTAATTCAGAGGTACAGAACTACTTACATTTGAATCACAAGAGACTAACTTTAACATGAGACAGATGACAAATTTTTGGGGATATTCTTACCGAAAACTTCACACGAGTGGATTTAATTCTTACTAAAAATAATTACAGTTGACACGCATGCGGTAAAGATACGCATGACACCACAGAGAAGTACATGTTGCGTCTCACGTGCATACGCACGGATCCAGCTTATTCAAATATGAAATGTTACTAAACTCTGAGATGTCTCTTATTCGGGATGCATGTTAATTTTCACAAGGACCTGATCTAGCAAAAGATGTTTGCATCTGTGTAACATTTTTTTCAGGTGTGAATTGGACATTATATGAATTTTGAATAAAATCTAGAAACTTCTCAAACTTTTTTTAAATACCTCATCAAACAGTTTGAAGCAATTCAGAGACTCTTCAATACAAAATACCTTAAATTGTTATATATTATTAAGGGTCTCATATAGAGCATATCTAATACTCTATGTAAGTATTTTCTATTAATTATCTAACTATTATTATTTTCATTATAAAACATTGCCAACCACAGTCTATGCAAACAGTATAAAAAATGGTATTATTTATGTGTTAATTGGAAAAATAGTCTTATTTTATATTTCAACTTATACCTAATAATAATAATAATAATAATAATAATAATAATAATAATAATAATAATATAGGTACGCGCTATTAACTACTGGATTTTAGTCTTCCAATCTATAAGCTCATTACAGTGTACCTATAAATAACAATAAAAATATTATTATAAATTAATAAAAAGAATAACAAAGTTAAAACATATGTTTATACCTCCCTATCTTTAATACCCAATAAAACATTTATTTTTGTTTATTGTTGGGTTTTCGCTAAAAAAAATTAAAGGACATTAAACATTAAAGGATTTTACCTTAAAAGATGCCCTTCCCTTATTTGTTCTCTGATTGGTTACTGGTGGCGGCACAGGTGTTTCCAGTGCATTTTCCTCATTTGCATGTTGCCCAGGAGACAGAATGTTTTCTTGACCTAGGAGATCAAATGTTTGTGTGATAAGTATGGATACAAAGTAGAAAAATATGTTAACATTATATAGACATAAAATAATTAATGTATATACACTGTATATATAAATGTAGGATTTAAACGAATAAAGTCCTATGAAAAATCATTGTGTAATAAAATGCCTCCGACGGGATTCGTACCTGCGACCTCTCGCTGACAAGGCGAGCGTCATAACCATTAGACCACGAAGGCTTCATGGTTGAACAGGTCCAAATACCCGTCGGGAACATTGTATTACACAATGCTATGCTTCAAGAGGACGTTCGGCCAGATAAATCTGGAAATACGGCTAGAAATACTGTTGTATATTATATATGATATTGAAGGAAATTAACCGTTAACACTGTTGAATAAATGTAATATCTGTCTCTTATACACATCTGCCCCGTCCAGACTATCAAATTATGACTAAAACACTTGAAATACCTAAATATGGTCATGAAGACATCACATCATGACCATATATAGACACATCATGACTATATATGGGCATACAAGTATTTTTGTCAAAGAAAATTTGATAGCATGAACAGAACATAAGACTAATCTACTATGATTTTAAAGAGACTGTACTAAACATTTAATTTACAAGAAGATGGAATAATGAATGAAAAAAAGTGGTTAAAACATTGAGACAAGGCTGCAGCATTTCATCATCTACAAACTACAACTAATATCTTCCTTCTAAAATGCATGAAGAAAGTGTCAACTATGGTTAAGAACATCTAGGCTACGGATGCAACACCTTCTTGATGAGATTGGGAGTTCTTTCTCGGCCTCTGCTGCAAGCCTCCAGTAGGAGCTAACTGGCTCTTAACATTTGGCTTCTTGGTTGGGTGATTCATTGACTTCGGTTTACTGTCTTCCTCTGCATCGAGGTACGTAAAGGGAACATTTTTTTTTTAGTAGCAGCTGGCCACTCAGCATAAGGAGTAGAACTTCTTTTAGATGTAAAAAGTAATCCTTAATATATCTTTAAAATACACACTGCATCAAGTTTGTTTTTAATGTAAATTATGAAAAACAGATAAAATAAATTGAAAATCTTTCCCTTAAAATATATATTTTTTTAAAATATTGAATATGAAGGAGGGGAGTGGGGAACAGACAGATAAAGGGAAAACTTATCCACACATCCGGATCCAAAAAATTACTGTAAATTACAAAGAAGGCCCATCCAATTGGACACCCTATAAAGGGGATATTCCCATCATAGAGACATTTTTATCGAGGGGACATTCCTATCAAGGGGACATTCCTATCGAGGAGACATTCCTATTGAGGGGACATTTCTATTGAGGGGACATTCCTATTAAGGGAATATTCGAATCATACAGTAGATACATTCTCATCAAGGGACATTCCTATCAAGGAACATTCCTATTAAGGGGACATTCCTATCAAGGAGACATTCCTATTAAGGGGACATTTCTAATAAGCAGACATTCCTATCAAAGGATATTCCTATTAAGGGGATATTCCCATCATAGAGACATTCTCATCAAGGGGTCATTCCTATCAAGGAGACATTACTTTCAAGGGACATTCGTATTAAGGAGATATTTCTATTAAGCAGACATTCTTATTAAGGGGACGTTTCTATTAAGCAGACACTTCTATCAAGGGACATTCCTATCAAAGGACATTCCCATCAAGCCGACAAAATTTGGCTGCTAAGTGAGAGAATATAATATTTTAACACTACAGCCAACCTCTATTTAGAGAACACCCCTGTTGGACATCTGCTTGGTCCAAATTTCTACTGTCTGTACATTCAAAAACTTACAATGGAGTTTGTCGAGGTGTTTCCTCAATATCTTCTATCACATCCAAGAGTTGCATCCCTTCTGTTGGAATGAAGTGTCTGAACCCTGCTGTAATCTTCAACTCTCTTCCCATGTCAACTTTTAAAAAAATTGTTATAATTGATTTATTAATATTTTTTTTAAAATCACCTTTAACAAGGGTAAAAATTCAATTAGGTTAAACACTGCTTTCCACTCTCCAATAAAACATATTAACACTACTTAACACATTGACTGGCAAGCCTTTTTTCCTAGTTTCATCTGATACGCCAAGGCATAAAGGGTGCCACCATAATGAAAATCATTTCCATCAACTGTAGTGAAACATGAACAAACATACAGTAGTTATTTTTAAATCATTTCTTCCGGGTTCTCCCGAGCCTCCAGGGCGAGAGTTAATGTACCAGCGACCACTGCCAGCAAGTTTACGTGCAATACAGCGGTACGTTGGCCAGGTGTGGACGTGAACTCGCGTCCTTCGTGCTCTGTCAAGTAAACCTTGTCAGAAATGAATTCACATCCCTGGCAAGCAAATATGTTAAATGAATGAACATTTACAAGAGCAAAGACGCTTGCTAATTCTCAGACCAAACCATGGAGAAAAAAAAACAATATACAACTTTGAATAAAACTGTTGGTTTTGACCCAAACTTGAAGAGCTAAAACAAAAAAATCACAGACAGAATACAGGCCCGTAGCCAGGTCCTTCCAAGGGGGTGTTTTCTGGGCGTGAGGTCCACGGTAGAAGCCCCGGTGGGTTGGCAAAAACCCCAAAGCAAGAGGATTTTTGCGCTTTATGGGTCTAAATAATGCTATAAAAGCAGATAGGTCCTATGTTTGAAAACGCCTGTGTCTGGGTGGGTCTGCAGGCATTAGTTGAGTTGGAGGACTTATTTGGGAAATTTGAAGAGGAGGGTTCGCCATAAAAAAGGGGGTTTTGCTAGAAAAGGGGGGTTCTCCCGAACCATAACCCCCCCCCCCTGGATACGGACCTGGAATAGTACTTTCATACTAGCTTAAATACTACATTATTAATCAGAAAGTTGTTGTGAAAAAACCTTCAAGCAATTTTTCCATACACTAATAGTTTATTCAGGTCACTATTTTTCCCACAGTGCTTTAAAATTGTACAACAAGTGTAAAATAAAAAGGTTCATTCACACTATGCTTATCTGAAGCAACTTACGTTCAACAAGCTCTCCGTCCTCTTGTCGGATTTCGACATGGATGTCAAAGGGCGTTCCTTGGGTCAACTCGAACAATGTCTTGCCCACAATCACCATCTCCTTTGCTTCATCTGTAGGTGAAAAATATAGACATTGTTATTATATAGAGTCAAGTTACCGAGCAGTAAAGCAGAGGTGCCACTAACTACAGCCTTAACATCGGCGTTGGTTCGAGCCGCTCCTTGCCAGGGTTCAGTTTGTGGGACTTAAAATGGAAGGTCCAGTGTGCACATTTTGCTTGTGTGCACTTTAAAGAACCCATTGCATCTTTCGGAAGAGTAGGGGTTTACCCTGATGCTATGGTTCATTTCAGCCTGTCGTTGTGGAAAGATGTGAACATGTAGCTACTATAAACATCTCTTTACGGCCACTAGGTAGTCACAGACCACGCCCACCTGCTGCTGACGTCAGGGTATCACATGACACATCTTTGTTGCTGAGGAAGGCTATACCCAATCTGTCAAAAAAATTGAGTACCTCTACAGCTAAACTATAGTTTTCATAGCTTTTAGAAATGACATACCTTTCAATCTTTACAACATTGGTTTTCCATTTTGATACATAAGATAATAAATATATGAGAGTAGAGTGGACCAAATTTGGATATATTGTCAACTAACTAAATCAACCAATCAAATTCGTCCATACGTTTAGGTTTGCCATTTATCCAGATGCCTTCATAAATCATGCCTGAGACATGGATCAGAGTTCCTTCTCCATTGAAAATATCATTCCTCCACTGGCCCTGCAACATGAATAAGCAAAATAAATTAAGTTTCATACTAGTTTACTCAGACATGATCAAAGAATACAATGCTACAGCAAGGATTTCATGTGTGTTTTTGTTGAAAACAATCAATAATAATAATAGTGTAGTTTTATATAGCACAGTATCTATCAAATAGATGCTCAGGGCACTTGATGTGTGGACTAGGAACTCGGTCAATGACTTTCTTCACCCCTAAGGGTCCCTTCGCGTCTGTGCTACCCGGTAACCCAGTACCAGCAACTCTCGTCATCCACCACAGGGGCTGTCTGTTCCAGTACACTGGGGTATTCCCCTACTAGTCTCGAATGATGTACTGGGTTCTTTATAGTGCATACAAGTCATTGTATACACTGGGCCTACGTTTATAGTCCTTATCTAAGAAGACTTGTTGTACCACCAGAACCACAGGTGAGTGTGCTGTTAGAACCAGTGCCAATATAATGGCTGTAGGTTGCATCGCATCTTTCCACTCGGCCATCCAAACAGAAAACACATAGACTACTGTCTCCACATCACCTCGGGGCAACAGATTTCACCATTCCCCTCATGAGCAATCAAAATTTGTATAACATACAATAACTATAAAATGGCAACAACTTTATGGTAAGAGAAAATAGGGAAGCCCAAAAGACAAGTGGTGGATGAGATAAGAGACATCTTGTTTCCATTCTCACGGCAAGTCTTTTTTGGGATGATCTGGATTAAAGATTAACAAAACTCATAAGGCCCTTTGACCTGACACTCTCCCATAATGCAACACTGCATCAGAACTTACTTCATATACAGAGCCATCAGCCAATCTCAGTTCTCCACTACCCTGTCTCTTGTCATAAACCCAATCACCCACAAAATGGTCACCATTCCTACATAAAAAAAAAGATTATTAACTTTTTTTTTAAACAAAATAGAAAAATAATTCTTTAAATTGTTTTTAAATTCATACTTGAAGAAAACAAATTAAAACATAATATATATATAACATAATCAAATTATAGAAAATAAAATCATTATGCCAAAATTCAAACTTCTGGATACACAAATGCCTGAAGAAAATTTTGACTATGCATAGTACCCCCATTCATGAAGATCTTAAATTCTAGCTGCTTGCATTGATATTTCTGCTCGGGGGAAGCATGGTTAGTTTTATACTAAGAATAGTTTAGAGAAAGGAAACATACGCGTATACTTGTGAGCCACCACCATGCCGTTTGTTCTTGTGGAAGGATCCTTCGTACACAGCTCCATCGGAATATTTCAGAATACCGTGACCTAAAGTATGAGAAAGAAGTCATTATACTAACCACATATTATTTACATTTTGCAAATTCCAATTAGAAATTTTGTGTAGTTGCCATTCTCATTTGGCTCAACAAACTTTGAATATTGTACTTGACTTTTGTCAAATAATTATTTTAAGACTGGTTTCCATAATATTGCTACACAATGCCGACAACTTTCATCAACACATCTGATCAAAATATGTGACATGCCTTTAAATAATAAAGCCTGGTTTCCATAACATTGCTAGTAACTTTTGACGACGCTCATTGGTTAGTTGAATTGAGGCGCCTTACCGATTCCATATTGGACAGTTACACAGTGTAGAAATTTTATGGAATCAACCTTAAGCTTTTATAAATAGCATGTGTACTTGTTGAAGCCTTGCATCTCTCTCATTTCCATCATCATTATCACTATTAGGTGTCACTCATCACTCATCATCATCATCACCACCATCTCATCATAATTACCATCACTATCATTACAGTCGAGAACAGCACATATTTGAGGGGGACACTTATTAGATCATATTTGCAAAGTGTGTGAAGGCTTACCTTCTTTCATATTGTTCTGGAATTCTCCTTCATAAACTGTTCCATCAGGATATGTCAGCACTCCGAATCCATTCATCTCACCGCTTTCAAACTGGCCCGAGTACGTATTGCCCGATATAGCCCACTTTCGAAAGCCGTGGCCCTCTATCTCTCCATTGATGAACTCACCCTCATAGAATCCTCCATCGGCCATCATCAATTTACCATGACCTGTTAATTTGAAGGGAAAAAAAATATTTAAAAAGATAGGCTCTATAAAATAATAAATCTTGAACTCATCTATTTCGTGACAATATTTTACTTATTCGAAAGTCCAGTTGAAAAGATTTATTCCTTTATATTATACTTACCTGGATGAATAATAATATTTACAAACATAAAAAAGCTCGCCGTGGCTAGAGATACGATACCATATTTCCACTTCAATTTGCTAAAGGTACGGTAAATGGCATTACCTCACCATTACCAAACTAATTCCTCCATTTTCATACCAATCTCAAAACCCAAAATCTCATCCCAAGTTTTAGTCCAAGAAGCCTAGGTTATAATATACTCGAAATGGATTTACCACGCTTTAAAAATCTGACCAGAATATTCATACAAATTGAATACACACGCAACCGTACATTCACCCAACTTTAGGTAGACTTCGTCGCTGTTATGGTACTTCCCCCAGTCGTAAAAAATCGGTCGACCAGAATCCAGATCGAGAGAATGAGTTTCCCCTTTGTGATTATTAGTGTCAAATTTTTTCAAACTATTGATGCAGGCCCATTTAAAACAGTACTACGGTATATAAAAATGCTAGTAGGCCAACATGAATCCTCTTGTTTACAGTAAATTCAGTTTTAGTGTTGTAATGGTAGACCAAAGACTGACTAGTGCTGCATGTGCTTGCCTGGGCCTACTACCTGAAGATTCCTGCCTTGCTTGATATGGCTATAGACAAATGACTCTTATTACTGAGTAGAATCATGCGCCACACCTATTAGTTTTCGACGACAGTATTATAAGAAAATACTGCACTCTTTCCCTAGCTAATTCCCCACTAATCCTGTGCTGATCAAGTACACTGTTTACTAGACACACCACTCATCTCACACTTCTGGCGATCTGCAATGCCAGTCTTGAAAGATGACGTCACACACATTCCGGCACTTCATTGGGTGATGGCCACGTAATGCCATTTAAAACGTACATTTAGCAAATTGAAGTGGGAATACGGTACCGTATCTCTAGCAACGGCGAAAAAAGATATATATTATATATTTTTTTAATTATATTAAGTCTCCTGTAAGTTACAAGTCTCCTAGAAATTTACATGGTGGTCCAAATAAAATAATAATAATAATAATAATAATAAAACATTTATAATGCACTAATTTCAAGTAAATGATCAAAAGCGGAGCAAGTAATACGGAGCTTTCAATACACAACGACGGTAGGCAAAAGTTCTTGTTGTTGCGTGGATTCCATGATGTAGGACAATCATGCACGAGTGAATCAATTCTAGCATCACGTCTTCGCACAAATCAAAGCTCCCTAATATGATAAATAATAAACCTTATCTCCTTTGACTCAGAAATACGGCATGTTTTGTGACTAATCCATGTTCAAGTACCAGAGCTTTCATGAATTTTAGAATAGCATTAGAGTTTAATCTACTGAACTAAAAAAAAAAACACTTACATTTGAACCTTGGAGATTTTTAAGGCCATGACTATTGTTCTGAATGAATTGTTATAAACTAATTGCTAAATCTTAACCACTTGAAGATCATTCAATAATGTCATGATAAGTTAAACAACTTGACCTTCAAAGGAAGCGACTAAAAATCAATGATGAAGGTATAGCATTATATCGCCATAATCAATGTTTAGTACTCATTAGGATCCTTCTCTATAATATTATTTTTGTTTGTGCTCTTTCATTACCCTGTGTTAAAATACTGTAGAAGCTGACCTTGGGGTGCAAGTGTTGTGGTTAGTAAAATTTTACAGAATGACTTTAAAGCTTTGCTGTTAAGGTTTGGCACATTATTATAGGGTTAAATTACAATTAAGTCCTTGGTTAAATATTGAAATGTATTGATGTATGTGCAGCAATATAAAGTTTTTAATCGAAAACTGTTGTGCTGAAGGTTAATAATTTTAGTCCTAATTTGAAATCATGTAACAACCAGTCTTTTTCCCATGGCAAAATATACATTTACACCACCTTTACCTTTAATGATTACAAACATATTCTAGAGATTAGATCTTGAGAAAACACTTTTTTTGTCCCGGGGCACTGGCACCGACAACCCCACCCTCTTGACTCTAGTGTCACTTACTAAGCCTATCTATGAAGGCCAACTCAGACAGCGTTGTACAACGCAGCCTGACGTGATTCATCGTCGGGGACAGTCTTGAGCCGTCGTCAGAAATATTAAACATGTGTAATATTCTACGACGCAACTGCCCCTGACGCAAACCATCGCGCCTGCGTTTAACTCACACAGACCCGAAGCGACAACAAATTATGTCAAGCTGCGTCGTACGACACTGTCTGAGTTAGCCTTAAGAAAACTAGAACTTTAAAAAGTTAAAATTAAGGAGGGTGTTTTTAGGCCTAAGTTAAAGTTAAAATCTGTTTAGTATGTGGTTATGACGACACCATTGAATCTTTTATGCTATTTCAATTTGAGCAAAGTTAATTTAAAAAATGAATTTTATGATTTTTTCTGGTATTTTGCATGGGACAATAATCTTAAAAACCACATATATTGAGCATCGTGTACATGCTTTTCTTGTAAGGCAAGGCTTTTTTTTTCAACCTTGTTTCGCAAACTTATTTTTTGAAAGATGGTCAGAGGGTGGAAAAAAATTAAAATAAATTTTGGTTTTTTATTTTAGCATAGAGTTTTGCCAAAAACATCCTGATGGAGGAGAAAATAAAAATAAAACTTTATTGGTGAATGTAAACAGTGTAGTAATGGGATGGTTAAATGATATATAATTAGGAAGAATATGCCTACATCTTTTTTTTCTGAGGTTTTTTTTTAGGCGGTGGCAGGCATAATAAAAATGAAGAAAAACTTTTATTTTTTTCTGAAATTTTTCTTTTTTTAAGGGAGCAGGTGCACTAATGGGCCAAAAATGAAAATTTGTTTTTTATTTGAAATCATCATTATTGGCCGGCCACCGGGTTTTCTAAACAAGGTATAAAAAATGTCTAAAAGTTTCTGTCACCTTAGTATCAAGTTCGCTATTGCATTCTAGCAAAGAAAGATTCCAATGCTGGTTAAAAAAGGCAAAAGATAGTGACAATAGAAAACAGCAAAGCGGTTTGGGTTGAGGTCAAGAAACCAACGATTGTTATTTTTGTTTTTACTTTTTTACAAAAAATATTATCATTCTTCTTACCATGCTTCTTTCCTTCTTTCCATTCTCCTTCATATTTGAAATATGAGTTTGGGTATTTGTACATGCCATAACCTGGAGAACAAATAGAAATTAATTCAGTATAAAGTTCCATGCTAGGAATGTGTCAGAAGTGACTCAGGCCTATGACCATCTAGGCCTAGCCTAGTTCGTTAGTTTAAGGCTTAATTAAAAGAGTGGAGCTAGGCCTAAAAACTAAACCCCAGGAGGTCTAGCCTAGGACTAGGTCGGAGGCTGGATTACCTTCTCGGAGTTGCTTTTTTGTTTCCCCTAGATAATGCTGTCCTCTTGCTACTCTCGATGCCATTTTGGTGAGTAGGCACTTACATCATGTTAAAATTCATCATCAAAAACTTACGCAGTAAGTAGCCTACTTTCAATCACGAAAGCTTTATATCGCTTTGACAACACAAAATACAGAGTCGATCGGAAAATTAGTCTACCGCCCTCTATATTTTTAGTCGTATTTGGATTTTTATGCAAAAACATATTAAAAATTGAACACGTTGTCCGTCCCTTTCTAGTATCCTTAAAACCAACAAATACAATCATCAGAAGACGGTAGGTACTAATGATATTATTACGAACATACCTGGTAATTATTGTCTTCGAAAACAATGAGTTTCCTGCTATTTAATAGCATGCAAGTTTGCCGTTTTGCAGCTAGGCCTCTAGCCTATCTAGGCACGCACATACCCGGAGGCCTCCTCCTAGGCTAGCTGAACTGTTGCTGTCAAGATAGAGCGTAGGTCGAGAGGCCTAGGCCTAGCAGTAATGCGTAGCCTCAATACGGCGCTAATGCACTTTCGCACCTAACTTTTAATTCTTAATTTTCTTACCTGAATTTTTTTCTCACAGTCACAACACATAATTATAAAACATTTTTACATTATTCAACCACTCATAAAGTACATTTTCCCAACAAATAGGACCTTTAATTTATAAATATAGGTTGATACAGGGTTTCCGTGCTTGCTAGCACGACGAGCTGTACTTTTTTGCAATCAAGTATTAAATTCCCAGAATGCCTGAGTCAATTCTTAAATTTTGAAACCATTAAAGGCCAGTCTTATAATTTTAATTGGAATTTTCCCATGAAACATCCGACAACAAAATGTGGCATCATGCAGTTCCATCTTTTTGAACTTTCTTGTCGTAATCGAGGTTAATCGAACCGACGTTTATCAATATCATTGGCTTTAATAGTTGTTTTTCTGGATTTAGGCCTATAGGCCCTAGGCCCTATTTTTCGATCTGTGTACGCATTTGAATTTTTGAAGTAATTATTGTAGTGTGAATTTCATGTGAACACACATAGTCAAACAACAGCACCATACAATATAAAGAATGACATACAATACGGCAAATAGATAAGTTTTCATAAACGTTTAATCAAAAAACTTCACGCTGCAAACTCAGACATTCTGGCAATTTCTTACTGATTACAAAATGGCAACTGCTCGTCGTGCTAGCGAACACAGATTCGCTGTACTTATTTGTGGGCTTATTTGTTGAAAAAGGTACTTTGTGAGTGGTTAAATCATGTGAACATGTTTGTTAATTATATGTTGTGACTGTGAGAAGAACATTGAGGTAAAAAACTTTAAGAATTAAAAGTTCTGGCAATTTCTTACTGATTGCAAAATGGCAGCCGCTCGTCGCGCTAGCGAACACAGATTTGCTGTATTTATTTGTTGAAAAAGGTACTTTGTGAGTGGTTAAATCAGGTGAAAATGTTTGTTAATTATATGTTGTGACTATAAGAAGAACATTGAGGTAAAAAAATTAGGAATTAAAAGTTAGGTGCGAAAGTGCATTAGCGCTGCCTAATACTTACGAGCAACAATTCATAATCTTACTGTACCTTCACCCTGTGCTACTGCTTGGATTGTGTTTTTCCAATCAATACCAGTTTTTTATTATATTATTAAGTTATTGTACTGATGTCAAGGATACAGTAATTACTTCAATTAGCCTTTGGTGGACAATAAAACTGAAATTTGTATTTTCATAGTTAACAAAATATAAATCCTTTGGGGTTTTTTTAATAAAGATTATTATAAAATATAGGCCTAGTGTGACTCAATTTAATTTTAGATTTTTTAAAGAAAATGTTCTAGGGCTTACATTTATTACTGCAGTGCAGTCTTGTAACCATTTCATATTTATTTTTCTAACCATTCAAATTTCTCTGTTCCATAGATTTCACAATGGAAATAAAAATGCAGCATTATTTAGTTTTTCTGGTACTCATAATTGTAGCAACAGGGAGTCCTATTAAGAAGCTCTTCCGAGGTAAACAACAAGATACTGAAAAAGATAAGCTCGAGATTGAACCACCAGATCATATAGAGGGCGTACATATGCAGCGGGATGGTACCCTCAACAGAGAGTACCGCCAGGAAGTGTTCCTCGGCCCCGATCATGACCATTTTGAGAAGTCTGATGATGGAACTGCCAAAAAAATGCTGACCAAAGTATTTCATGAGTAAGTATATTCATCAAGGTAGAGGTTATGGTTACACCAGTCTTAAAAACAAATTCCTTATTCTGATTGAATGTTACTGTCCTAATTCAGTCCATACATACAATAATATCCAATCAGAATTAGGAATTTGTTTAAGGATGGTGTAACAAAAAATTAAAACATTTAAATTCGTTTTTACATATCTTTAATATTTCAACATTATTTCATCATGACATGACCATTAATACTACATTTTCATTTGCTGGATCCCCCAACCGTCATGTGTATCAACCAGATTTTTCAAGACGTTTGATGGGTCTTATAAGCTACAAGCTTTTCATTGACCCACTATCATCAAGCAAGTATTATGATACCTGATTATTAAAATATGATCATTAGGTTATTGCATCTCAGAAAAGAACTAATTAAGAATAAAAGCACAGTTTTATTGAATACATGCTAACGAACAAAAATTTGATAGTGTTGCATTTTAAATATATTTGATATTTTTTGCTCACCGACTTAAATCTTCAATGTAGATTGGCTTCATTTTTACAATGAGTTTCCTCAAGAACAAATTTAAATCTGAATGTCTTTTTTGGTTTTTTTTTCGTTTATGCCTTTGTTTGCTACCTGCTGTTTATTTATATATGATATTGAGTTTTGTCTAAAATAATTGTGGACGTAAATCCTAACTTTGGTTTTGTATTTCAATAAAATTGCACAATTTATAAACTAATTTTATATACAAGTAATCTTTATTTTATAATAAAAAAATGTTACCTTTCAGAGTCAATGGCGTTAATTTCTTTCAGTAGCTTTCGGTACGTTCACATACCTTCATCAGCTGTCAAGTGGTGGTTCACTCATTGTCACATGACCTTTGGTATTAGAATCGTGTGACAATATGGACGGCTCGCACTTTGATTTCTTGCACTTCTCTTGGTTTTTTTTTTTGTGTGTGTTTGGTTGTTTCTCAATAATCTTTACTTTGTTTTTACTTCACAATATTTAGTGTTGACGACGACAAGGATGGTAGCCTAACAGAAACTGAATTAACAAATTGGATTTTTTCAAGAACTGAGGAACACTATGCAAAAGCCATCAAGAAAAATAAGGAGATATTCCCAAAGGTAAAGATAAAAATTGACTATATAAATGCATTGGTGCATACATAATAGTAATACTATACATTTTCTCTTCATGTACATGTATATAGTATTAATATTCACTTCATGTATAGTGATACTATAATATGGTAACAGTGATTTTATCTTTGGTTGACTGTTATATTCATTCTATCAAATCAGCATTTTAATTTTTATTATTTATTTTCCTGTAGATCAACATGTTGTCCATTACAAAACTCAATATATACATAAACTCCCAATGTTTAAAAAAGAGTTAAGAAAAATCTTTTACTGGCAATAGTGGTGGCACCAGATATTCCCGACAAAAGTCAGACTGTAACAATTAGTTTTTCTAGACAGTGTTCCCAGATGAACTGCTTGGCTTCCTCTCTGACAAGAGGTCCAGGGTTTCCAGATGAACTGCTTGGCTTCCTCTCTGACAAGAGGTCCAGGGTTTCTAGATGAACTGCTTGGCTTCCTCTCTGACAAGAGGTCCAGGGTTTCCAGATGAACTGCTTGGCTTCCTCTCTGACAAGAGGTCCAGGGTTTCCAGATGAACTGCTTGGCTTCCTCTCTGACAAGATGTCCAGGGTTCCCAGAAGAAAAGCCCTGTGCTCCCTGGAGCTCCCACTGACTGGTAAACTTTATTGATATGGTATAATTTTGTTATTGTTATATTATTATTGTTGTAGGTTGACAAAGACGGTGATGGCATCATACACTGGCCCGAGTATCGTTTGCAGTTCTTGACATCAAGAGGCTACACAAAAGAAGTGATTGACAGGCTAGCGGAAGCCGATGGACCAGAGGACATCCTAAAGGAACATGACGAGGGTAAGATTTAAAAAAAAAAAACATTTTTCAGGGTATGTTAAAGCTTAAGGCTTTTACTGTACATACTATACTCTGAATAGTCTTGCTTCATACTTATCTGCTATATTATCTCTGAGTGCTTGACAACCCAACGCTGTCTTATGATTGTAGGCAGGGGTGTAGGCTGGTTTTGCCTGCTGGTTACCACCAAACTTGGTGGGTGCCGAATGTCTGTAATTGGACTTCTACAACTACCAGTACCAGGTACTGTACCAGTATAAAATATGAGAATGTGGAACTAAATCTCAGAATTCGGAACATCTTGATTCTACTGTAAACTTAATGGTCATTTATAGTAAATTAACCCACTAATGTGATGCCATGCGACACACCCCCAGCCTATGTCCATGGTAGGTGGCAGTCTAAGCGATTGGCTGCACATGCCTCGTGGCATTATATTTTCCATGGAATCACGTCGGTCATCACAGTGTGTGCCCAACTCCCGGGGCCTAGATTGGATATCATTGTATTGGACATCATTATTATTTTTGTTGTTTTATTTTTTTATTGATTATTAATTTTAATTATACATGTCTTCTTCCAATTAAAGACCACTTTTGGGACTGGGGTTTCCATGATCTTTAGCAGCTTTGGTCTAGAATAATAATTTGGGGGCCATAGAAAAGTGGTCTTTAATTGGAGGGGTCTTTAATTAGGAGGAGACCTGTATTTATTGATATGAGAATTTAATTTTCAAAGTATCTTTAATATTCATCACCTGAGACCTGAGAAAAAAAAATAAAATTACAGCCCATTAATCTGCTGTTTAATATGAACTTGTTAGCTATTGTATTGTTTTTTTCAGGTTGATATGAACAGATGGTTAAATTTTTGCATATCAAAAGCTATGTCTATAAATCAGTGGAGCTACAGTATGTGTATTTGATGTTTTTACGACTAATTTATTTCTTTGTTACAGATGATTACATTTTGTATCGAGACAGATGGGCAAGAGCCGATGAGAATGGGGATGATAATCTCGATGAAAAAGAGTTTCTAGCGTTTCTTCATCCAGAGCACTGTAAAGATACCATCATGTCACTAGTAGATGAAATTCTTCATGACATGGGTAAGTGGTAATTAAGTAAGGCAAGATAATTGAAGGAGGTGACCAAGAGAGAGACATGAGTCAAGGAAGTAAGTTGTGGCAGGGAGTGAAGTGGAGCTACCAAAAAAAATTAGCCTACAGTAATAATACCATTCAAGGCATTATCTGAAACTTGTCATTTGGAAACAATCAATAATATTAATAACGATGATGATAATATATTTACTTTTAATAATAATATGATAGTAGTACGGCTATAATATGTTATTAAATAAATATATAATGGTGATAATAAATTGCTGCATATTGATAAAAGCACATGATTGAAATTTCCAAAATTTTTCGCTCTTGAAATTTTTAGACCAAGATGATGATAAAACTTTATCGTTAGCGGAGTTTGTCTCACTGCCTCTTGGACATGAAGATGTTCTAGAGAAAGAAACAGAGGAGGATGAATGGGTTAGAGAAAGAAGAAAAGAATTTGAACAAAATATTGATCTTAACAAAGATGGAAAAGCTGATGTTGACGAATTAGGGGTAAGCTTATTTGGTAGTTCTGGTGATGGTTTACAGTGGTGGTTATGGTGACATTGGTGGTGACAATGATGATAGCCATGGTTTTGATTATGTTGGTGGCATTGATGATGATGACAAAGACATTGATGGTGACATTGGCATTGATGATGTCAGTGGTATTGATGATGATGACATCATTGATGATGGTGGTTGCATTGATGATGACAGAGGCATTGATGGTGACATTGGCATTGATGATGGAATTGATAGTTCTGGCATTGAGGATGTCGGTGGTATTGATGATATCGGTGGTATTGATGATGATGATAACTTTGATGATGGTGGTGGCATTGATGATGGAGGAATTATTGATCATAATGGCAATAATGATGTTAGTGGCATTGATGATGTTGGTAATATTGGTGATGGCCGGTGGCATTGATGATGGTAGTGACATTGATGAAATTAATGTTGATAGTGGCATTGTTGATTTTGGTGGCATTGATGATGACAGAGGCATTGATGGTGACATTGGCATTGATGATGTCGGTGGTATTGATGATGATAACTTTGATGATAGTGGTGGCATTGATGATGGTGAAATTATTGATCATAATGGTAACATTGGTGATGGCCGGTGGCATTGATGATGGTAGTGGCATTGATGAAATTAATGTTGATAGTGGCATTGTTGATTTTGGTGCCATTGATGATGACAGAGGCATTGATGGTAACATTGGCATTGATGATGTCGGTGGTATTGATGATGATAACTTTGATGATGTTGGTGGCATTGATGATGTTGGTAACATTGGTGATGGCCGGTGGCATTGATGATGGTAGTGACATTGATGAAATTAATGTTGACAGTGGCATCATTGATTTTGGTGGCATTAATAATGGCAGTGGCATTTATGGTGACATTTTGTATTGATGATTCTGGCTTTGATGATGTCGGTAGTATTGATGATGATCTTAACATTGATGATGTTGGTGGCATTGATGATGTTGGTGGTACTGATGAAACTAATGATAATAGTGGCATTGTTGATGTTGATGGGATTGATGATGGCAGTGGCATTGATGGTGGCATTGGCATTGATGATGGTGGTGGCATTTATGGTGACATTTTGCATTGATGATTCTGGCTTTGATGATGTCAGTAGTATTGATGATGATCTTAACATTGATGATGTTGGTGGCATTGATGATGTTGGTGGTACTGATGAAAGTAATGATAATAGTGGCATTGTTGATGTTGATGGGATTGATGATGGCAGTGGCATTGATTGTGGCATTGGCATTGATGATGGTGGTGGCATTTATGGTGACATTTTGCATTGATGATTCTGGCTTTGATGATGTCGGTGGTATTGATGATGATGGTAACATTGATGATGTTGGTGGCATTGATGATGTTGGTGGTACTGATGAAACTAATGATAATAGTGGCATTGTTGATGTTGATGGGATTGATGATGGCAGTGACATTGATGGTGACATTGGCATTGATGATGGTGGTGGCACTAATGTGGTGGCTTTGATGATGTCTATTACTTCTTTTCTTATCAACATGTTGTAATAGATGGTAACGTGATGAATGAGTCAAATAAAGTTAATGACGGTGATGATGAGGTTTTTAAATATACAGTACCTAATAAAAACATAATAATTTTTAACTTACTTTTCCAGAAATATATGGACCCACGTAATCGAATACATGCAGAGAGTGAAGCACGGAATTTAATCATAATGGCCGATGACGACCAAAATGATAAAATATCACTGAAAGAAGTTCTAGACAACTACAGCCTCTTCATTGGTAGCAAATTGGTACATTTTGATTGGAAAGTTCACGATGAGTTTTAAGCCACATGGAAGCAAGCATTTCTTTGTTAACACGTTGACTGCCATGAACGATGAGGGTGCCACGATGAACCAATGAGAACACTTGTTGAAAATGAAGTACAGTGTATTACGGTGTATTACTATTTGCTGGACCACAAAATCCTGGCAAGCCATTCAGTAAAAATACATACATAATAATTTTTAAATAATCAATTATATTCTTTTTTAAATTGTAGTTTACGTGAGAAAGATAGTCATGTGGTGGCACCTTCCACAATAAAAAAAACTTTACAAAAGTGTTATAAACCAGAAACAGTATAACTGCGTATGGTTGGCTGTTCTAGAATGTGATACAGTATTTTAAAATTAAAGATGCAGTAAGTTGCATCCTGATGATGACATAATTAATGTCGAAATATTGAACCCCAACACGATGGCGTGCATTTCAATACTTGGAGTATGTATTAATCAGTGGACCTTTCGGTTTCAGTAAGTTGTTATTTATTATAAAAATTGTTTGATGAGTAAAGCTTGTAACTGGCTCTGGAAAAATAATTTTAAAAGTTGTTTCATTGCCAGAGAAAAGTTTGCTCAACTGTCCTGTACTATTTTCCCCAAATTTATTTTTAATAAATTTATAAAGTTTCTTTAGATTTAGGGTTGGTCAGAAATGGGCCACGCATGTTATTTTTTATTTTTTTTTTTTTGTTGGGTGGGGGGGGGGGGGTTGTTGGTATTGTGTG